TAAAAACTACGAATTGGTGCCAGCTTGTCTCCGCGGACTTGTGATCTTCGGGCTTGTCTATTATCAAATGCAAGGACATGAGAAATAATTGTAAAACGTTCCAAGGTCATAACAGCTCTTAACAATGGACGGCCATGATTTTCATTCCACAAGCAACTAATGCTTTCACCATACGAACGATAAACACCTGCAAATATAATAATTCGATGACTCGGTACAGGGTATACGAATATGCAGAACACCAACCAATAAGCATCAGTAAACCTAAATATGCATCAAATTCTATTTCGTCCATACAGTGAAAATTTTCATATACAGCATTGCCTTGCATATTGCTGTAACGAATTATTTCTTTCTTCATGGTTGTAGTTATGCATAAGTCAAACGAGGCTCTTATTTCGGAGATTCGTTGAACAGCATATGCTGTTACACCTGTCCTTTCATGTATCACATTTTCATTTGTGGCTCGAAGTAATTCTCTTCCATTTGGTGGTATGGTGGTCCACTTTATATTACCATCTTTACAAAAGTAATTATTTTGTTCAAGAGGAATCTCTATTTCTTTACTCAGCTCTACATCTGTATCCATGTCATCCTCTGATAAGTTCCGTTGAAGTAGCTCTGGCTCAAAGTCTGGATCACCATCATCACTTGCTTCGTCGTCAAAATCACTCAAAAAAGCGACAATTTCATCATCCTTCAGCGTCTTAAAAATAAAGCACAAAAATTATAGATTCTTGATAAACAGATTATAATTACATGTAAACTTACTTCCATTCCGATCGACATAATTTATTGTAATTTATTAGGTTTATATGAAATTAACTTGCGAACACTTTATCAAAATACCGTTTTGACATGAAAGTTACATTAGCGCGGGAAAAATTTGTTAGTGTTTTTATCTTAATAAATAGTGTTGCCAATGCGCTTTTTAGAAGCCATATAATTAGTATTGCAAATAATGAATAAAATAAGGGGTCATAAAATGACCCAAACATAACATGTGCATAGTGCTGTATTTAAATGACTATCACACAAATTTTGTTCAAGTTGAGTTAATTTTATGAAATAATATTAAAATTTATACACTGAGGCGAAAAAGTTTTAGAAAATATGCTAAACTTAAAAAATTATTACAATTTAAAGTCATTTTGGGTCATGAAATGACCCGAACATAGTATGAGGGTTAATATCAATGTGTTTACTCCTTGCATGATATACAGGGCTTTTAACAAGGCTTATAGCACTTAAATTATCGCCATTTATTTCAATACAATCATTTAAAATATATAAATTCATTTCAGTCATTAATTTCTTTAAATAAACTGCTTATTTAGCTGCTGATGATAAACCTATGTATTCAGCTTCGGTGCTGCTTAGAGCAACGCATGGCTGCTTTTTGCACTCCCATGAAAATGCACTGCCACCCAGGAAAAATGCATAACCCGTAAATGATTTGCGATCTGTAGAATCTCCACCCCAATCAGCATCGACGAAGCCTTTTCGCGAAGCCATTTTCGCGATTCACCGGTTGCTGGAGGTTGAGACTCGATCACAACTAAATCGCCTTCGGACCACTGTTTAGGGCTAGCGTGTTTATTGTCAAATCGTGTTTTCCACTTGACGCTCTCGTGCAATATTTTCCGCTGTCAGTATTCGTTTTTCAGCCATCGTTGTTTGGTTTACGTTATCATGTGTGTCATCGTTCACGGCGGCTATGAGTTCATTGTGCACTATGTTTCGAAGATCAAAATCGAAGATAAGTTCATTTGGACTGAACCCAGATGTCGTATTCTTTTGCGAGTTTATTGTGAATCGTTTGATTTGCGCGTTCCACTTGCCCGTTAGCACGTGGTGTACGCACGGCTGTTTTGATATGATGGATTCCGTTGTCGTTGCAATATGATTCAAAAACTTTAGAGGTAAAGGCGGTACCCCTATCCGTTACAATTTTAGATGGTAACCCAAAGTAAGTAGTTAAATCGTTTATGGCATTGATTACATGCGCCGTTTTCGTATCTCGAACTGCTCTAACCACCAAATATTTGGTAAAAGAATCAGATATAGCCAACACATAACAGTTTCCTTTCTTGCTTCGATTGAAAGGACCCAAATGATCGATGTGAATTAAATGAAAAGGTATTGGCTTTGATGGGACACAATATAGACAGTTTTTCCTCCGATTGCTTTCTGATAACAGCATTCGATACATGAAGCAATATAATTTTGTACGTACTTCCTAATTTTTGCAAACCAAAAATTCTGCCGAATACGTTCAATCGTTTTTTCCAATGCGAAGTGACCCATGCGGTCATGACATAGCTGGACAACACGCCAGCGTACGTATTTCGGAACAACAAATTTTAAACCATCTGCTTCTCGTCGATATAACCGATGTTTTTGTAAACAATATTCTTTACGTAGTATATCATCGTTAGGAGATTTAACGTCGCCCTTTAGAATCGATATTATTTCGCGCAGGTTTTCGTCCTGAATCTGCATGGTGTACAACCAATCATTTTTGCCGATTATGTGACCCAAGTGCAAAACTTGCGTCGCTAAGAATTGGCACTTTGCTAAACGTAGCGTCAGTTTGTAACCGCGTAATATATTAAGGAACTTACTTAAGCGTTTTAAACCCTCTTCAATCGTCGTACTTGAAATAATAACGTCGTCGAGATATACCATTATTTCGCCAGGAGACATCTTTGCAATTACCCTATTCATCACCGATTGGAACATCGCTGGGGCATTTACTAATCCGAATGACATTCTATTAAACTCGTAATGACCATCGGTGGTGACGAAAGCGGTGTATTTCTTTGAATCTTCGTCCATTTCAATTTGATGGTAACCCATTCTTAAATCAAGCGTAATGAAATAACAATTACCTGCCAATTGCTGTTCCTCCATAATGGGCATCGGGAATGGCATTTTCGTGGTTATTTTATTTAGACAACGGTAGTCAACGCAGAGCCGATGTTCTCCGTTTCTCTTTTCGACCAGTACGATCGGTGAGGCATACGCAGAATCAGACTGTCGTATGATCCCGCTATCGAGTAATTCACGTATGATATTGGAAATTATCCGACGTTTTGCGAATGGAACGCGGTATGGTTTCATACGAATCGTTGTGTTCGTTTAGATGTGATGCCGTATTTATCGGAAAAATGCGTTCGACTCGACATTGACCGTTTTCATTTACTAGTCGTTTATCGTTCTGACATAACACATCTTCACCAAGTAAAATGTTTTCACATATTAGTTCATCATCAACAACTAACACACAAATTTTAGTTTTCATTTTATCGATTTCAATATCAATATCGATTTGATCTTTACAAACATATTCGCCACCTCCAAAACCTTTTAACACTACACTATTCGGTTTTGCCTGCCCGATTTTAATTGCAAATGTTTTACGAATCAGTGTACGACCACTTCCCGGATTAACAAAAGCATTTGTATGTTGACCATTCACGTTCACTTTTTTTACAATACCGTTTGTATTTTCAATAACGTTTACTTTTGATCGTTGATTTTCCGGACAATTCTCCGTGCTATGATTTGGGCGGCTACATTTTCCACATCGAATTTTTTTCTGTGGCTCTGAACAATCTTTCGAATAGTGGCCAACCTTCTGACAATTATAACACTTGATACCATCGAACTGTTTTCGTTCATTACGCACATTATAGTTCTCAACTTTTGGGATGGTGAATTTCGTTTTGTTAATACTCGAATTTGGTTTATAATTTACATTTAGTATCGGTCTTAATTCGTTATATACACAGTATTCGTTTATATCGCGCAGTAGCTCAGTGCATTGCATATAATTATTTGAAAGTTTCTTTTTCAAATCGGCCTCGTTAATATGACGTACTATCGCATTTTCTGGCATATCCGCTTTCGTGCCTAGTGCCAGCATTTTAAAATAATATTCTTGCGGCGATTCATTATGCTGTCTTATGATCTTCGACATTTCGATATGTGCATCGGCTACGTTTATCGTAGATGGAAAATCGTTTAGAAATCTATCTGCAAATTGTTTCCAGGAAACATAAATTTCTTGTAACGAATCAACCCAATATTTGGCTGTACCTCGCATCTTTTGTTGTACGGCAAAAATCAAGATGTTGTCATTCCACCCATAAACATTTCTCAGCATTTCAACCCGTCTAATATACTGTACAGCATTTAATGATATTTTCGATGTAGGGTTAAATTCCGGCAATAATTCAACTACATCCCGTACGTTACAAAACTGATTTGACGGAACGTAAGGTGCTGGTTGCGTAAGATACGGACCGGACACAATCGAGGGTACTATATATGGATTGCCATTCCCATGTTGTGGTAATGCATTTTGCGTTTGTGTATATACATTTTGCGGCATTATGTATCCACTTAATGGGTTAGCACTCGATGCTTGAGCATACCGATTTGGCGGCATGTCATTCGAAACTTGTTGCTTGTTGGCTTGCATCGGTGCTTCTCGTAACGATCTTATTTGTGACGACACCATCATCTGCGGATGTGACCAACATGTTTGTTTATACGGAGCTTGTGTTATATTACACGACACTTGATCGGATGTGACACTATTCGAGGTCACGGTTACTACTGAGTTTGTCGAATTTACCACCGGCGAAGAAATTCGTTGTGGCACAAAATCTTCGTTGCTATCACGCTCGTCGCGAGTGCGCATATGCATTATCGTTAGCACTCGTATAACTTTCTTCTGAATAAAACATTTCTAATCGATTTATCAGTTCTGCTTTATTTCCCCGTGAAGAAATGTTAACGTTCGAGCACCGTTTTTTTAGTTCGTGTAACTTTAATGTACGGAAATTTTCTATTGTTTCCCGGTATATTTTTCGTTACCGTTTGCTAAAAGTCACTTTACTGCCGTATACATATAAAAT